GGGTCGTGACCATGAGGTGATGAGGGTGACGAATGGGGGTGAGATCTCAATTCCTCACCATTTCCGTCAAGCCAAGGGCCATTGTGGGCATACTCATAATCCTCAACTAAACATGAAACTTGCATCCAAACTCTCCTTGGATCCAATGAAGCATTCTCAAAGAGAAAGGCACATCTTGCCTTCCAAATGCACCACAACGTGAACAGAATTTCAGCCACCACACTGTACTTATTGTTGCCCGCTTGCTCGAACCACCATTGAATCCACTCTCTAAAGGTGCATTGGACCAAATCCAATCTTATGGAGAGTTTAGATCCGAACCACATTCATCGAAAAATCGCATTTAAGAAATAAATGTTATGCTGATTCTCCTGCATTTCGCAAAGTGAACAACTGGGATCCACATTCTTTCTCCGGGCAGCAAGATGGGTACAAAGCGGTAGCGCTCCAGCTAGACAACGCCATGAAAAGAGTTGCACTCTCTGTGGTAGTCCTTTTAAGGCCCACAATCTTCTCCAAGTCTGATTCAAAGTTGAGGAGGAAGGTGAGGCCACCCCAATTTATAACTGATTCTTTCCCCGTGAAGGCATAGCGATATCTTTTTTATTTCATTCCCCGTAACCGTATCAAACAAAAGTGATAATTTCTATTCATCCCACTTTTTGGTTATTGGATCTATTAGAGTCACTACCCTCATGTCTTTCATTCCCTCTACTACCGGGGCGAGGTGAAGGTGGGAAGACTTGGTATCCAAGTATTCTTCCAAATTTTAATGTCTTTCCCATTACCAACAGTCCAACATGCTCCCAAACAGATGAGTTCCCGCATTGCACAGATAGCCTTTCATGTAGTGGACGTAGTTGAGGGACACTGTGCCTCCCAGAAATTGCCATTAGGGAAGTATTTTTGCTTCAAAATTTGAGCCCACAAGTTGTTAGGTTGGGATATCAATCTCTAACTCATCTTTGACCGTTGTACTAGATTGTTGCTTTTGATATTTTTAATCCCTAACCCACCTCTATCTTTTTGTAGAGTGAAGTCAAACAACACTTTTAAATAAATATGAGGTAATTTATTTGTGAAACCCCACCAAAAGTCCAGATTATTGCATCAATTTGGTCACACACATTTGACGAAATCAGACTTGTGGTCATGTGGTATACTGGGATGGCCGATAGGGTGGATTTAATTAGGACTAATTTCCTGGCATGATATAATAATTTGGCTTTCCACCCACTTAATTTGGATTTAACTTTTTCCACTATAAACTTTTGCGAGTCCTTTTTATTCCTTCCAACAAACAGGGGGCTACCAAGATATTTATCTTTTTCCTTCTTGGCGCTAACCCCTAATAGCCTAGAGAGCAACCGCTGATGACGTTGGTGAACATTTGGACTGTAGCAAATTGTCGATTTCTGATTGTTGATTGCTCGTGCAAACCAGCTACTATATAAATCAAGTGCATCTCTAATCCGTTGGATTTTCATGGGATTTGCTTGTCCAAAAATGACAACATCATCTGTGAATAGACCTACCTGCTCATGGGCCGAGTAGCTCGATGGCCTATCCCGGCGCAGTTTGTTACAAGTCAGGTTTGGTTACAATTTTGGGTCCGTGATCTTGGGCTCGGGTCAAAAGCATCGGGCCCGACTTTTTTTCAAGCTGGGCTCAAGTTTTCTCAAAAAAGCTCAGTCCGAGTCCGAGCCCAATATGATACTATATATTAAATAATAAAAATATATATATATATATATAATATTTTTCTATGTTCTCTTTTTTTAAGTAATAGTGAGATGTTTATTATTTTTTAATTTTAAAAATTTTTAATATAAATAAAATACTTTTTATTGAATAAAAAAGAAAAAAATTCTAATTTCAAATTTCTGATTAGGCTTGGGCTCAAGACCTAAGCCCGATGGTCGGGCCGGGCTTGGTCCTGAATGTATTCTATTTATACATAAACAAAGCCCGGCCCATCCCATGAACAGGTTGACTTCCATGTTGTTCCTTCCCACTTTGAGTCCTTTGATAAGGGTCTGGCTTTTTATTACATTTAACATTTTGGAGAGCATTTCAGCCATAATAATGAAAAGGAAGGGAGATAACGAACACCCTTGCCGGAGTCCCCGGGATGGGCGAAACATCCTTGTGTGTACCATTGATCAACACTAAAATGGATGTTGTTTCTATGCATAATTTAATTAAATCGCAGAAATCAAATGAGAAACCCATACCTTGAAAAAACTTGACTTAAAAAGGACCACTCCACCCTGTCATACGCCTTGGTCATATCTAACTTCAACATGAAAAGATCAGCTCCCCCCTTCCATTTGCCTGCCGGGTATGAAGCCATTTTGAATTAAGGAGATGATCTTATGCAAAAATCCTTTCAATCTGATTGCCAAAATTTTTGCCACCACCTTATATATAGCATTACAAAGGCCAATGGGTCTGTAATCCAAAGGATGAATCGGGTTATGCTTTTTTGGGATTGGAGTCAAATAGGTGTGGTTGAGGGAGTGGTGGAAGGATTTTTGTGTGAAAATTTGTTGGACAAAAGCAGTTAATTCTTCTCCAATTGTTGACTAGATTGGTAAAAAACAGCTGGTAAACCATCAGGTCCCCCGGTGCCTTTAATGATCCAAGAGAGAAGACCGTCTCTCTTATCTCCTCAAAAGATGGGACTCGACAAAGAAATCCATTGTCTTCTGAAGTGATTTCACCACCATTAAAATATTGATTCAAGTTAGCTGGTTGGGGTGAGCTAGAAGAGAAGATACCTTGAAAATACTCCTTGGGAATTCCGTCCCCATATTTGGGAATTAACATCCGCTTCATCTTCACAATAAACTCCGGATCTGTAACATTTGCGATATGCTCCTCCATGTTGTATCGGAGTGAGCATGATGCGAAGGTATGACCTATCCTGCCACAAAGGTGGCAAAACCTTGGCAACCTCTCATGTTTTACTCCACCGATCGATGTCTTTTGATTCGGGTGCATGCAGAGTGCCAATGGAAGCAGCGATTGAGGTTCCAACTTCACCAGATAGATATTCCACTGGTAAACCAAACAACTAAATCCAGATAGATATTCCTCTCAAGAATGAGTAGATCCTCGTTGAAGCTCCAGGGACCACCAGTCACAATAGCCTCTCTGTCCGCTAAGGATTTGAAGCAAACCAGCCAACTATCTCCTTCAAACTTAGAAATATTCGAGGTACTGTGTAAGTTCCATGCCTGCTTCAAGTAGGCCTTAAGACTTGGCATCTTGACTTCTCTGTCTGTCAACACTCGCATCACTAAGCACTTTCGCCAGTCCTTGGGGCCCTTGATTTCACCCTTTTTTGCAGTGACTGGTTGTAATGGTGTCGGGGAGAGGAGCCCCGCAATGGAATCAACAACAATCGGAGCTTTCATATCTTCCTCAAGCTTACTTTGGAAAGAGTACAAATGCAAATATGTACCGCACAAATGCATACAAAATAATACAAAATATAAAGTTTTGCACTCTACATATTTACATTTGTACTCCTTACAAACTGAGCCTCTACAACAATCTAAGTTCGATCTCCTGAATCATCCATAATGAGAAGCACAAAGTGCAGAGAAGAAGAATATAAGGGGGGAAGAAGAAGAAAGACCATACTAGAAAGCGCGATAGGGAAGAAGATTGGAGAGCCTCCCTTCATATCACAACCAAGACTTGAATGTCCAAGGAAACTAGTTTCTTTGTATTTTGTTTTTATTTAGCAATCTATTGGTTCCATTGATATAAAAAGATGTGATGACATGATTGATAGAATTTTGTAATTCTAAAAATAATAAATTAAAATTTTTGAACACTATTCAAACTTAAACTTCAAGGATCAAAGTATAGGTATCGGGTATCATATTGGACAACTCAAATATGGATATTGATATAAATAAAGATATGCTTTAGAAATGCATGAATATAAATACATTAATAATACTAAATTTAAGGTTAATTAACCACAAATAATGTATAAATACATAAGAAATGTATATTTTAATGAAGTATATAAAAAAGAAATACATTACAATCAATATCATGGGATGCATAGGTATCATATAATTTTATTGATAATACATCAATCAAGAGTCCAAGACACAAAATATATGCACCTATTATATTTTAATTATTATATCAATTATTCCATTATTAATATTTTAATTTATATAATTTTTCTGAAATTAAAAATCATTTTTTATATAAATGTAAATTAGTAGATTTGATAGATTCAATTTAATATTATATTTTAAAATATTTTTGTAAATGATAAGTATATTGTTATTTAATATAATAAATTAAAATACTAATATATATATATATATTAAGATACATAATTACATATCATGTGCAAATTTATATATTTTAAGTATTAAAATAATTATTCTATTATTAATATGTAATTTGTATAAATTTCTTAAGATTAAAATCATATTCTGATTTTAATGTGGATTTGATAGATTACTTTTTCCGTTAGTTTATAAAATACTAAGTTTGAATATTTTCTTTTTAATTTTTAGTTGAAATTGTTAAACATAATTATGTATTATTTATATAAATTATATATAAATAATAAAATTAATAAAAATTATTTTATTCCACTTATTATTAAAAGAGCTAAGATAACTTAGTGGTTTAAGGTTGTATTTAGGATTTGGACATGCTGAGCACTAAGCGGCATAGGTTTGAATCATTTTATACACATGACTGGAAGAATACAACTCAACTCATAGTGTATACCGTACTGGTTATGACTGACACCGATAGGATACACTCCTGTTATAACTAATACTTTTTTTCTGCTCAAAAGAAATCACCTTTTGCTCAGAAATCATTTTTCAAATAGTATTTCTTTGGAGAAGTGTACCAAAGATAACCTAATAATTAAAATGTCTTAAGACCTTACAGCACGTTAAGTCGTTAACGGTTACCCCCAAGTTTATCCATGCGTTCAAACAGTGGAAGACAAGAAGCAAGTCCAATGGGTTTGGTATGCTGTTATAGACAAAGCTGCCAAGTGTTAACACTGTATGAAATGAAATTTTAATCTGGTTTAAAATCACATGTAACAAAAAAAAAAATCATCTGGTCTGAAAAATGTTCTGGATCATTTTTCGTGGCGACTCTTGCGCCGCGCATTCTAGCTGAGACACCTCCTCCGAACTGAGACGCCAACCAAGAGCACCCAAGTTTTCCTCCGCTTGTTTTACTGTCTTCACACCGGGTATTGGAATGGTGCCCATGCATATGCACCAGTTTATTGCCACCTGCCGATGAAGATTGCATACATTTGAGTTAAGGAGGAGAGCTCAAAGATTACTACACGAAAATACTGCCAGCATGATTGTAAAGCAGCAAATACAAGCAACAGGATGGTCCTAACAACTACCTCACTTTTAGAATTTCTAATTCTCACTAGCCATTGAAAAAGGTAGAGAGCATAGAGAGATTCAGCTTCAATAGTAGGAACGAAGTTGAAATTCATGAGTTGAAGAGAGTAACTAAATTGGCTCACATCTTTCTGTCCTCTTGGCCTAAGAAAAATAATTTTTCTCCCTGAAGTTGGTTGATTAGGGCAAAATTGTATCCTTTAGAAACCGTACATGCACATGTGGATGCATATGACTCAAAAAAAAAAAAATTTGCGGAAAAGAAAAGAAACAATGTGTCGATTCCATCCCTCTTTCTTTTTTTCATAGTAGGGCTTTTCTAATCCCTAATGAAGGGACTTGTCTTCAACTTTTTCAAGAAAGATGAGTTTTGGCTCACTTCCCTACAAAAAAATAAAAAAGAAAACTGAACTTATAGAACTAACCTCTCATTGATGTATTGTTTTGTTGAGATCCAATCCAAATCACAATGTAATTTCTTTTTTTTTTTTTTTTTGTTCCAAAATGGGTCTCTTCAATTCTTTTAGGTCTACGCTTTATTCCGGGTAAGGATACTCTTCAGTTTATGAGCTTGCTATATTCTTTAGATAGCACCTCATCTCAGCTGCGGTTTGACATCATACAACCCAATTTCTTTGCCAACTTCTGTGCAATAACTTTGGGCAGATTTGGGCCTCTTCTATTGCCGATTACCTAGCCTTACTTCTACTAATTATTTCATTAATGATAACTTCAAATCAATCAATTATGTGTTACTGCTGCTACACACGCGCCAGAAAAGGCCAAGCATTCATATATGTTGCTAAGTGAACCATGGTTTTCAAAACTGGATCGGACCAGAAGGTTGGACCGGAAAAACTGGGATCCGGTCAGGTGACTGGTTCCATTTCCCCCCAAAACTGGATTTTCTCAAAAAACCATTGATTTTGGTCAACAAACCGCTGAACCAGGCAGTTAACCATTCGAACCGTTCGAATGGTTTTGACCTTTTTTTTTGTCAAAACGGGCCAACCATTCGACCCGGTAACCGGACCCCTGACCGGTTTGGTCTCCGGGTCGGTTTTAAAAACCATGAAGTGAACAATCACGGAGAACTGCACAATGCAAGAACTCAGGAACATATGACCAGGTACAAAAGGAAGAGATAGAGGGCTTTCCTAGCCAACAAATGAGCCACCTGGTTTCCTATCTTATCCTAAACCACACTGAACAATGAGGGATACTATTCAAAAGAGCCCTGCAGTCAGCAATGTGCTGTTTGATGCGCTTTCAGACCTCCAAAAAGAAGTTGATCACCAATAGAGCATCTCCTTCAAATTTAACATGATGAAGGTGGAGATCGAGAGCTAACTTACTGCTTTCCTTTAAAGCCAAAGCTTCAATCTCCTTCGGAGAGCAGAGAAGAAAAGCAATACCATGGGCCACAATAAGAGCACCAAAATGGTATCTGGCAAACAGACCAGCCCCCGCTTTGATGTTGGAGGTAGCTCCATCAAGATTAATTTTAATATGAAGAGAGAGTGGGCAGGGCCAATGTTGGGGAGAAGAAGATCCATCATCCAAGACAGTACTTTGATCCCCATCCTCACAGAATGAACCACCACCAAAATCAACAAATTGTGAATGTAGATTATTTGCTATGCCAAGTATATCAAAAGGTTCTATGTTGAAGAGCAAATTACAACGAGCTTTACAAATTTGCCAAAGAACCAGTGAGCATTTAGCAAAAACCGAAACATTATCCTTCCTTCTAGGATCATCCATCTCGCTCCAACAAGTTAACTAGTTGAACAATGACCAATTAGAAAACCACCTCAGGTTTAATGGAGAGAGGAACCAAAGTCTTTGCACCAATGGGCAATGGAAAAACAAATGATCCATGGTCTCTTTCATGCAAATGACATATTACAAGCACAATCAAAATGAACTCCCCTCTTAGATAACTCAGATTTGATAGGTATAGAGAGAGAGAGAGAGAATAATGCACTTCCAGATGAATGTGCACGAAACTGATATGTTTGAATTTCCAAAAGTGGTTCCAAGTCCATTTACCAAAAGCAATATAAGAACGAGATGAGCTAGGAGAGTGCTGGTGAATTACCCGGAATGCTGAATCCAAGACAAAAGTCCCATTAGAGGACAGAAACAAGATTAAAAATATCCCCCATAGAGGCATCGTATGAAGGTAGTGGAGTACGAAGGAAGGCATCTAATTGACGGGGGAAAATAGCAGAAATCAAAAAGTCATTCCAGTCCCTTGTATTTGTATCAATTAGTGTAGCTACCTTACCATTATATGATATCCCCCCAAATCTCGAACAGCATCTAGATTCCACCCATCTATCCATGGATCATCCTAGATACTCACCTGCCAGCCATTGCCAATAATCCACTTTAGTTAATTCATATTTAAAGGTCTGCCAAGTAACATGGAAGCCCACATCCCAGAAGAATTGGCAGCTCTTTTAATCGACCAAAATGAGGTATCATGCTTAAGATATTTAGCTGATAGAACTTACACCCAAAGACTATCCTTCTCCATTAGAAACCTCTAGATGAGTTTCATGATCATGACTCTACTAATATCAAAAGCATCATGAAAGCCTAAGCCCCCCACATCCTCATGTCGCATGATGGAACCCCAACTCTTCATGTACATATAGCTTTCTTTCTCTAGACAACGCCACCAAAAGTCATGACAAAGAGAATTAATCTTGGATGAGCAATCCTTCGGGATGAGAGAGGTGAGAGATGATAATTAGGGATTGCCTACAAAACACTTTTGATAAGCACCCCCTACCAACCTGTGACAATAATTTAGACTTCCGACTGCAATTTCTTTGAAATTTTTCCACGAAGAGCTTCCAGCTTTCTTTGGTGTAATGTTTATTTATTATTTAATTTATCTAGTGTATAAAACAATTCCTATGAACTTATTGGCATCATCAATTCTCCTCCATAAAAACAAGATGTTTCCATCTCCTCCAAGATGCCACTGTCATGTTAAATAGAGCATTGAGCTCCTAGGTTAAAAGAGTAGTTCTAACAACATAGACAAGTGAATTAACACTATTCAGCATATGGTTGCATATTCAACACCTGGGAAAACCTGCAGAGTTTGAAGAATTTGATTAGAAGCCAACAGATTATCTTGGTCTTCCAATTAACAATTTTTTTAATGAGTATTGAAGATTTAACAAATTTCACAAATAAGGGAATCATTACTACCCTGAATACTGCATGTTAAACACACGTGTTCTTCTCAAAACAAAGACACAAAGAGCACGCATCAGGTAACAAAGTCATTCCCAGCCTATACAACTAAACAAAGTAATATAAAGCAAAAAAAAAAAAAAAATCAAACCCAAACTACAAACCAATACTAAATCAATTTCTAGGGAAGGAGGGGAAATGCTTAGCAACATGTTCAAAGCATTCACTCAGTCAGCTAATCCTGATCCCGGTTCTTGATGCATATTCATTTGGGCATCTTCTTGAATCTATACCATTCAAATGATGACCAACAGTTCTCTATCATACCCTTGGGTGGGTATTTTAATTTTGTAGTTTGCACATCTGCCCTCCTACAACGAAAAAGCATTGCAAAACAGAAACAACAGTGCACTTTCTTCTGCTAGTCATTCCCAACCTAATAACCTAACCCTAGTAGCAAACATCTAAATCATTTTCTATGAAGTATAAGCCACCTAGGTTGGAGCATTTGGCAATAGAATGAACAGAAGTTCTCCTTTCAGCAACTCTTGGCTTGCCACATTTCTCAGATCACTTTTTTTTATTGGAACATTTCTCAGATCACATGCTTGGGATATTCAGCATACTGTAAATTTTCTGGTGTTTCAATAGGAATTTCTGTTATTATATGCAAATTTAATAGTTCAGCAGAATATTTTCAATTTTTCATTTTGCTCAAAGATATGATACAGTCCATTGTAAGTTTAATTTGCTTTGATTTCAATCGCAGAGCGCACATAATGAGTGCCAACCAAACTGCTTATTTTAGTACATGGTATGGACACATAGGAATTTATCTTCCAACATACAAATGTAAACCTCCAGCCTAACTAAAAGAAAAAATTAGGTCAATCCATGATCAAGACACAAAATAATGCTATTTAATCCATGCAGAAAGAGTCTAAAGTACTATTTTATTATTTTACAAAAATAAATAAATCCTATGATCTGGATCTTTAGAGGCAAGAAAAACCTTCACCAGAGCATACTGGAGTAATCTTGTTAGTGATTGAATCCCCAAACAACTGTTCAATGCATCCCAGTCAAACTTGCGACATGCTCCATGAGATGATTACAAATAAAGAGTACTTTCTATCATTCATATGAGTTCTAATTGGGCAGCTTAATTTGTCTATCTTAGTCTAATATTTATACATTGAGACCCCAACAAGCTCATATTAGAGAGAGAGAGAGAGAAGTGTTACCTTTCATATATAAATTTTTGACATAAGAAATTATGCTGACTAAAGTTTCAAACTTTGTTATCGTGTTTCCACCCAAAAGCATTTAAACATTTTAATACTGAAGACTTTGGTACCAAATCTAACTCAAGTTGGCACATATGACATACATATGTACTCACATTTACGCATATAGAAAGTACAAGCTGGGTTGCATGACATGCAAATTTAGTTGCATTTAGGCAAATAGTATCCCAGTTATTGATGGAAAGTACTATCAAGAGAGTCAGAGGAAATACTTGTGGTATAGTTTTATCCCTCCTTTGTGCAATTTCTCTCAATGCAGTCAGCAAGGGCTCCAAACCGGGAAGAATTTGGCTAAATAGTAAAGCCCTATAGAAAGAAAAAGAAAATAAGATAAAAGATAATTGTCATAAATGGTAATTCGCACTTCACAGTTACATCTTGACCATTTATTCAGAGCATGATCAGGAAAAAAAATAGAGAAGTTTTGGTACCGTGGACCACTTGGAAGGTTTGAAGATGTATATTTGCCAGTAAGCATTCCCAGCCCAAGAGGACTATAAGAAATCAAGCGGATACCAAGAGTGTCACATATATCCTTGATTTGCATTTGATCAGCCCCCATACTCAGCAAAGAGAATTGCACCTGTAGTTAGTCTTATATGTTTTAGATCAATATTCTCAATCTTTAAGGCATTATGTGATATCACACACAATGTGAATCTGCTGCAGTAATAGATCAACAGTTGACAGTTCCACAGGACATAAATAACATCAAGGTCCAAAGAGACATTTTAGGAGAAAGAAGTAAAACAGCTTCCAAGATAGAACATAGTAGCTATAGCCGGTACTCAAAGTCTCAAAGTTCCGTTGACAAAATCATAGTGAAATTGCTTCATTGGGTTTTAGTTAGCACTTTTTTTAATGGCAGGAGTTGGATAATCAATGTATAGAACAAATAAAACTGAATTCCAATATAGAAATTCTAACTGGTACCCAAAGTGCCATTAAGAAAAATCATGGTGTTCTTTCAGGAATGTGGATCCACATGAATTTCCTTTCAGGGTTTTTAGCAGCTATCCATTGTTTTCCTGGCATATAAGAAAGTGTAGCAAGAAAATCCAAGCACTTCACCCTCTAGAAATGATTATAAACTCTGCTAAGAACTAAAGCTTAGGATCTAGTAGTTGAAGGTGATTAAGTATTGTGAGAACCTAGGCTTCAGGAAAATACAAGGGTTCTCAGAGACAAATATTAAGAAAAAATAAGAATTAAACATACATTTAAATATCTCATTCAAATTAGTCCACTAGGTTGAATAAAAGGGAAGATCCTCTTCCAAGAACTGTGTTTGGGGTTGGAGGCTTGGAGCAACATCCTTGTATGATGGTTTTTTTATGAATTTTTCCCAACATGAATGCATCAGTTGCACATTTCAGTTTCTTGTCACTCATTTACCCTTCTCCTCTGTGTGTGTGTGTGTGTGTGTGAGAGAGAGAGAGAGAGAGAGAGAGAGAATTCATATGAATTACCTGAGCTGAGCAGAGGGGAACACCTCGAGACTTGAGGTAATCATGGATCTTCACAAGCTGCTTTGGCCCGTAATTGCTAACACCAACAGCTTGCACTAAACCCTGCAAGATCCTTACCGCCATGAGTTGTAAATCCCTTCTCCCTAGCTTCTCATAAGTTCAAGTTTTTGAAGCAAGGTTAACCAAATAAACATTGTATCCCTGATCCTCTTTAATGGCATAGTTCTACTACTTGAAAACGAATTACAGTAACCTTCTCATACATTGCAACTAGACCATCCCAGAGAGCCAACTCTTGTATAGGAGCATAATTTGCAGTTGACCAGTGTAACTGTCCTATCCCAATTTTCTCAATTTGCATTCGATCCAAAGATGACCTGGAAAGCGCTTCTGCATCAAACTTTATTTACATACTCCAATAAAAACAACTAAAATTGGGTAAACTAAGATTGATATACAGGTTACGATGGAGGTGCAAAACGACAGTTGAATTGAAAGTTGATTGTACTTGGATAACTCTAAGAACCAACTTGAAAATTTGAAGAAGTGAGTTGGATTAAGATGAAGTTTTGTGAGTGGGTCTATTGAGGGCTACTAAGACTAAAAATTGGCTGTCTACCAAAAAAAAGAATAAACATTAGCATCCTTACATAGGATTAAAGTGAGCACTGAATGCGTGTAAATCAGAAGCAAGAAACTGGATAAGCATCATACTTGCAAGCTTTTACAAACTGAGCAGGTGTCAGGCGCCAAGGATAAGCCGCAAACTTGGTAGCAATCACAATGTCATCACGCACTCGCTTTCGTCCTATAGATTCATACATCAAAAGCTTTAGTTATATCAAAATGTATTGATTTGTCACTAACACAAATATCCAAACTTTGCCTAACGCTTATATATAGTCAGAAGAGGGGAGAATGCAAAGAAGACATTCCCTTGCCTCAATGAATACTACAATTGCTTTTGTAAAACAAAAAGGTAAATTAACAACGTTACAGACACTGGTGATAAAGAGATAACTTCTTCCCATCCTCCGTTTTACTTATGCAGATCTTTATGTTGAATGAAAAAAATAGAGTAGAAAGAACAATGTCCAGAGTTTCTTATGTGGTTTAATTGAACTGAATTAACGGAAACTTTGAGAGATGAAACTGACCCGGAAATTCGCGGATAAACTTGCCAAGAAGCCTTTCGCTCTGTCCGTTTAATCTTCCAGTCCCATATGAGTCTGCCGTGTCAAAGAGATTGATCCCATTCTCGACCGCCAGATTGAACGTATCCTGAAGATCACCATCCATCGCCTCCTGATATCCCCATAGCAGCTGGTTGCCCCAAGCCCACGTTCCGAATCCCATCGGAGAGACAGTCAGTGGACCCATCTTCACCTGCCAACGATTGCCGAAAGAAGAAGCGCTTAACTGCGTGATCATTTTTTTTCTGCTACACAGCATAGTTAAGCAAGTTCCTGAAGTGTTAAATTGCGCTACCAGACACACCATACCTTCTCCCATGGCCAGAATGGAGGTCCCAACCGAGGGATTTTAGGTATTTTGAAAGCCGATGAAGGAAGCATTGTCTCACTTGAAGCGCTGCAGCGGCTAAAACATGCGGTGGGTGTTGCCGATGCGAGTGGCATACTTCTTCGACTTCTCCTTCAACTGGAGACTGGAGAGTAGAGACGCGATAAAGGACGGAGGTTCGATTACCAGGCCCGTGTTCCGCGCGGATAGGATGGGATTGAATTGCGGGATTGTGCAGGTGTCGCAGGACCACTCGCTTGCTTGCGAATGGAGAAATTTTCGCTGCCCACTCTCCACAGGAATTTCCCGCCCAGAGTCAACAGCATCATGCCATCATGCCACGACATCAGTCCACCCATAAAACGAATTGGGATCTGCTCCTGACAGAGGGCGACCTCATAGGAGAGACGGGATCTGCGCCTCACATGGACATCCACCGTGCATTGGGAACATCTTTAGTACGCAAGATGATCCCAATACACGATGGAATTTACCTGTGAGGTCGATATAAGGCGCTCGGCGTGAGGAGCAGATCCAGCAGGGAATGATTCAACGGTAATGTGCAAGAGTCCGGATCTGCTCCCTATAGATCGCGCCTCACAAGACCTCACAGTACATGCTAGCCTCACATTGGAAACATCTTTCGTATTTGTACTTTGGGCCTAAAAATTCCGAGCTGGTATCCCAACAATGCTTTGGGTTTAAAAATTTTAACCCTGGGTTGAACTACCATTCTCCTGAAACTGGATCTGTTCCTCACATATCATGTATTGGGAATATCTTACGTACTTATTAATTATTATTCACAGAAGATATTTTTAATACATGTGAGACGCCCATTTGTGAGGAGCAGATCCCATCTCCATTCTCCCTTTATTTATAGAGCTCGAGTTCGAATCTGCCCCCACCGGCTTGCGCCCCAAAAACGTCCCACAGCCTTAGAAGTTAGAATCGGCTGCGTGTCCTCTCATACGCTAACGGCTATCCCGTTAGCTCCCATTTCACATTTTCACCCAAAAACGGGTTTCACTCCCCTCTTTCCTGCTCAAACGCAATCTCTCAACTCAATCTGCCCCACCTCCTCCCTTGCTTGAGCTGCCAAGAAATCCAAGAGACGATTGTTCCGGCAAATACACCGGAGGTACATAATCTCCACTATCGAATCTCTTTCTCTGATTTTTTTTTAACCTTCTTTGCAATGGAACAAAAATGCAGAAGGGAAATACATGTGTGGTTTTCTCCCTCTTTATATTTCTTTATATTTCACAATTGAATTTTTTTCAGTTGGGTGGTTACCTAGCTTGCAACGGAAAAAACCGATACCGTTTTTATCATATGCTTACAATATATAACTTCACGTTCAGATTATCAACATAATGTATCTGTCGACAATTTTTGAAGAGACTAAGAACTACTCAGGTCACTTGCATTGAAAGTTAGAACACCAACCAGAGTCTTGAAAATGCTTAGAAGGTGAGAATAAACTTAGTTTCTTAAATTTTCATTATAGATAATTCAAAGCTATTAGAATATCTTCTAATGCTGTCAAGCTCTAATACTCAGGAGTCAGGAACTCCAAGATTTCTTAAATCAAACCAAAGAAGGTGATCTGCACCCACATAAAATCTCTGAAATGGATTTTCTACTTGGAGATTTCAATGACTTGCTAGAGGACTTAAAGAGTAGTAACTTGGGAAGTGAGCCTTCTATGAGGTAATAAATATGTTGGTTTCAGATTGAAACAGGTCTAACGGTCACAGAGCATTCAACTGATGATTGGTTTATGGTTTAGGCAGCTTGATTTTTCCAAGTCCCCAGGGAGTTCTAAATACAACACTAGGTCGACTGTCCAGTCCCATGCAAAAGGTGATAAAACAGAAGAACCTCAAGCTAAAATATGTTCACTAGACTAGTATGGTGAATCTGGTGGTGTTGAGCCAATGCCAATTCTAACAGTCACAGAGAATTCAATTGATGATTGGTTTATGGTATAGGCAACTTGATTTTTCCAAGTCCCTAGGGAGTTCTAAATACAACACTGGGTCGACTGTCCAGTCCCATGTAAAAGGTGATAAAACAGAACAACCTCAAGCTAAAATATGTTCACCAGACCAGTATGGTGAACCTGGTGGTGTTGAACCAATGCCAATTCATGTAGAAGCATAGAATAGTGGTGGCGGTTGTCAAGATGGAACCTGTTCATGTCTAGTTGTAAAAATTTGGTCCTAGGAAATTCTAGCCCATCTTCACCATCCAATTGTCTGGAAAGGTTTTGTCTTATCTCTTCAGTTCATTGTCCATGTCTCCCAAACCTTTCCAACCCTTTTCTTTACGAAAAGGCCGCTGTAAGATCTGCACCTCAAAGCTGTAATTTTAATGATTTTTATTAATAAAAAGAGCTTTGGTAAATTTCACTCTTATTTTTGGATTTTTATTTATCAACAATATTTGTTAAACTTCTATTTCTTAACACTATTTATTAATAAAAATATGTTTAAACTTTACCAAAAATACTCCAACAGTATTTACCCAAAATACTTTGAAAGTTACCAAAAATGAATTATACTATCCATTAATAATAGTTTTTATTAGTAAAAGTATTGTACTTTTATTAATAATAGTATTTATTACTAACCGTATATATGGATTGAATATTAGTTAATACAAATATCTCGGTAATTAAATATCGATAACAATATTTACCAATTTACGAAAAAACTTTAAAAATACGGTAAATGTATTTTATCAAAAAAAAATATTTAAAATTTAACACAACATTAAAACATATTGGATATGGGTCGGATTACGATCATATCCGCATCGTATCTGATCCATTTAACTTAAGCCAAAATAGTTTAGTTAAATGGACCGGTATGGCATGGATAAGTCTATCAACCCGACCCACACCTTATCCACTTTATTGCCTTCTTCACAATCGTATCCGTATCGCATCTGATCCATTTAACATCAGGCATATAGCTTCGGTTATGAGCGAAAACAATAGATTTAAACCCCATGAAAATTATAGTAAATCTATTTTGCATAAAAAAGTACAGACTTCTAATATCCAAACTAATATATTAGACAACATATGGAGTTAAAATATTGCTTCTAAGAAAAAAATAGCGAAAATAACCAAAACAGAGCATACTGTGCAAAGAGAGCTGCAACTTCAACTAGGAAGTCTACTTCGTGGAAGAACGGTAAACGATGAAGTCTTCAGAGAGTGTTGTTCCAAAAAAATCCAATGAAAAAGTTTCTTCCTAGGTATTGTTCTTTGGTAGAACAGTAAAGCTTGCTCGTGGTATCTCTGCTCCGGTCCTATTTTTCAACCAAAACAGTGAGCCTATGTCGAGAAATGACGAAGGGATTGCTTAGAGGCAACCAAAAGGATCCAAAGAGAGTCAAACTCTTACCTGTTCTAGCAAATAATAAAATTCTATAACGGTGGAGTATGCTTCTAGGTAGACACATAAAAGATGGGGATAGACCAATCCTGGTAGACACGTAAACTTCGGCTTCCGGGTAGATAAAAGCAATGGGAAGACGCCGATGAAGAATAGAGGGAGGGTGAAGAACAGAGTTACATGCTGCCGAAACCTGTTTTACAGAGCAAGTAAAGAAATATGTTTTACAGAGACGTGAAGAACAAAGAATGGGACAGAGCCCCTGATTTGATGTATAAAATGAAGATTCAAACACTGAATAGAATGGAGGAAGAAGAATCCCGTGGTGATGTGTTTTGACGTCCAAAAGGAAAATTTAAAACAAAGATAGAATGGAGGAAGAGATATAAGGGAGGAATAGAGGTTTCCATAACGAAGGGAAGGCTCTTTTGGATGGTTTCCATCCCAATCACGATTCTGAAAAGTAGTTTTTGATGGTTTCCATCTCCTTCACGTTTCTGAATAGTGGTAGAGGCCTAGAGCCTATATTGAATTGGGGTTAAGATTACAAAGAGAGTTTGCTGGGTGGCGACTCCTTGGGCTGATAGGGAACCTTTAGACTTGGCAATTGGGTTGGGTGGGTCAGATTCGGGTTGAATTCGGGTTGGGTTATCAAATGCTAGACCCTAACCCTAAATGTTTGGGTTAGGGTTGACCCATGGGTCGATCTCTCTCTCTCCGCCCTATCTTTCTGCCATCGCCGCTGCAAGACTCCCTCCCTCCCCTGTCTTCCCTCCATCGCCATCGCCGCTACAACTTGCAGCGACAGCTCTCTCTCCCCCCTGTCTTCTCTCTCTCGCTCTCTCTCTCTTTCCTTGTCTTCCACCGCAATTTTTTATTTATTAAACATTAATTATTTATTATTAATATTACTTGTATTGTTTATTATTTATTTTTATTAACTAATAATTTTTAATTATTTTATTAATTTTTAAAAATTATTTTAATTTTTTGTGTAAAATATTAATTATTTTTATAGTCATTAATTATTTTTTAACTTTAATAATTTCATTTATTAATTAATAATTTATTATTTTTTTATTTGTATCATGGTTTTCAAAACCGGATCGGACCAGACGGTCGGATAGGAAAAAACCAGGAACCGGTCAGGTGATTGGTTTCAGTTTTCTCCAAAACCAGATTTTCTTAAAAAACCGTTGATTTTGGTCAGCAAACAACTGACACGAGCGGTTAACCGTTCAAACCATCCGTATCGTTCGAACGATTTTGATCGTTTTTTATTTTATTTTATTTTTTTTAAATTATTTTAATTTTTATTTGTGTAAATTAATAATTATTTTAATATTTTTATAATCATTAATTATTTTTAACTTTAATAATTTCATTTATTAATTAATAATTTATTATTTTTTTATTTGTATCATGGTTTTCAAAATCGGATCGGACCAGACGGTTGGACAGGAAAAAACCAAGAACCAATCAGGTGACCGGTTTCAGTTTTCTCCAAAACTGGATTTTCTTAAAAAAACATTGATTTTGGTCAGCAAACAACTTACTCGAGCGGTTAACCATTCAAACCATCCGTATCGTTCGAATAGTTTTGACCGTTTTTTATTTATTTTTATTTTTTTGTTAGAACGGGCTGACTGTTCAGTTCGAACGGTCGAACCGTTTGGCCCGATAACCAGACCCCTGACCGGTTCAATCTCCAGGTCAGTTTTAAAAACCATGATTTGTATTGTTTCAATATTATTTTGAGGTTGAAAATTATTTTTTATGAGATCATGTAAATTGAACTCAACATTTTCAAATAATATGTTCTAGGGGTAAAATAGTAAAATCAGTAAAATTTAGATGGTAAAGGGTTGTTTCAAAACAAACAAACAAACTTATGGATTCAAATCCTCTAAAAAGTAGAAAATCATCCATGCCTCTTTTCAGGTTTGAGACACATTTAATATCTTTTTAACTTTTTAGATCTGAATTTTCAGATTTATCAAATGCCACCTTAATTTGGAAAGAGTACAAATGCAAATATATACAGTGCAAAAACATACAAAATAATACAAAATATAAGGCTTTTCACTCTACATATTTGCATTTATACTCCTTAATAAGCCTAAAGTGGGTAGCAAAAATTTCCCTCGTACAAATCCTATATCTTTCAAAAAAAAAAAGCATTAGTTAAACTTGATAGTTATTTTACAAACCGTGTGACCAATCATTTTGCTCCACACTAGCCTTAAAGATGCATACAACTCACAATCACTTGATCTCTCGCTTGCATTTATAGTTGGGGAAAAGTGATAGGTTATACAACCATAAAACAACTATCAAATTCAACTAATATGCTCTATGCTTATCTCCATATCGCATGCACTTTTAGTCATGCACATTTTACTACATTTCCAATTATTCTAATGCATCAATAATGTATGAATTGGAGATTGTTATGAGCAGCAACATTTTCCTACACTTCCAATTAGTCATGCACATTTTAACCATGGCTTGAACAGAATTGGTGTATGAGACATCATATAATTGTTATGTCATGTTTACATTCATGATCAGTGGACTATGTGTTATAGTTGAAAAAAAAGGTATAAAATATTGTATTCAAAACCAACAAAACCATTCAATTTTGTTGGTTATGGAACCATGGGTTGTTGGTTCAAAGTATCAATATAAATGAAATTGGTGACTTGAAATCAGCCCCCCACAAGATAATTTCCTACAACGTTCCACAGCATTCTCCGCCGTGTATTGGGAACATCTCCCGATGATGTCTCATCATTTCTGATATTATCATCGAGAGATGTTTCCAATACACTGCGGAGATGTGTTGTGGGAAACTATCTTGTGGGGGGCTGATTTGAATTCAAATTTGGCTTTTCTCTTTTGCCCCATTTGGTAAAACCATTCTTTTCTATTGTAACAAGAGATTGAAACTCTGCAATTTGGGCATAGTAACACTTAGGTCTCTTAAACTTTTCATTTTGTAATGAATAGTTACCTCATGCTTTTAAATTTCAACACTTTGCTTCCATCATTAGCATTTGGTTAATTTCAAATAAGGATTAAAATAATGATATGATATGCATGAGAAATGGCATACTGTAATCCATGATCATGGATGTAAGATACGCTACAACTTAGTTTGTATCACACTCATTGTCTAGAAAATCAAACCAGACCAATTAATTGTACCAGTTGAGTCGTGACCAAGGGCACTAGTTAGTCCAATCATACCTTATAAACCAAATTTTATAGAAAAAAAATGGTTGATTAGTTGGTTTAATTGGATAACTGGTCTCTTTTATTGTGTATGTTACTTTATTACATACATATTTTAAAGAAAATGCGAGTTAAGAGTCTTGAACCATGGTGATTATATATATTTATGTGTGTGACTCACATCATCACAATTTGACCTCCAATTTAATCATATTTGAACACCTGACCTGTGAACCTCTCCCTTTTTCGATTTTATACCTGGTCCAGTTCTTTGAATATTGATTGCACTAGTTGTGCATGTCGAAATAATATGCATTTGTATTAGGTCATATTGCATCATATCAATGGATACATGCCAATACGTATAGATTCAAAAGCACATTGGTGCTTGATTTCACAACTTTATATATTGACTGCTTTTTGGACTTTAACGAAAAATTATAATTATAAACACTAAAACCCACATCATCACAATTTGATCCCTGGTTTAATCCTATATCAACATCTTACTTGTGACCTTCTCCCTTTTTTGGGTTTATGCTTGATCTAGTTCTTTAAACATTGATTGCACTAGTTATGCACGTTGAAATAATATACATCTCGATTGGGTCATATTGCATTGTATCGATAAACATGGAGCGATTCACATTAATAAAAAAGCATATTGGTGCTTGATTTCACAACTTTGTATATTGATTGTTTTTGGACTTTAATAGAAAATGAAAAAATTATAATTATAAACACTATAAATAATCTAAGAGTCGTTTTCCCTAAAAATTTAATAAAATTAAAAAATATAAAATAATTTATTTTACATGCAGCAAATGATTTATATGTTTTATTTCACACAAAAAATACATGTTAATGAAAACATATTTATTTTTTTTTGAAAAATAGAGTTATTATTTGTATAAAAATACTAAATGAATAATTTTCCAAAAACTAATAAAAAATGAAAAGTATAAAATTAGTTTATTTTATTTACCTTGAATGATTTATATGTTAAAAATTAAAGCATATTTATTATGTACAAGTATAGCTATTATTTATGTAGAAATGCTAAATGAATAAATTTCCCCAAAAAATAAAAGCTATATATTATATTATAATAATCATAAAAACCAATAACTATTGTATGATGAATACATGTTATAGAGTATTTTGTCTTTCATGTATTGCATGTCCAAAATCCAAAATTTTGAACTAAAATTATAGGTGACAGCTGTGGGATTTGAACCCACGCCCTTTCGGACCAGAGCCTAAATCTGGCGCCTTAGACCACTCGGCCAAACTGTCGACGAGTGGCCAATGTCTCTAATAAATTTTATTTGTAGTAAATTTATTTTGGAATAATAGATAAATTAAGCACAACAACCGAAAAAATAGAGGATGGATTCTTTACAGAACTCGTCGTCGGCCACCGCAGCTGGGAATGGCGGGATCACCCAAACAAGTGATCCAGATGATCCAAAGCAGAACCTCAACCAGGTCATCAACTCCATACAAAAGACTCTTGGTCTTCTGCACCAGCTTTACCTCACTGTCTCCTCCTTCAACTTGGCCTCTCAACTCCCTCTTCTCCAACGCCTGTGCGTTACTGTCTGCAGTCTTTCTTAACCTAAAATTGAAATAGTTTATTTTATCCTCATTAATCAATCATCAATATTTCTTTTCCCGGTTGGAGAGCACTGGCGTTGTCCCGCAGAACATGATTACGAGCTTTTATTGATTTTAGGGTTTAACCTTGCAGGAATGCTGTCGTTTCTGAGCTTGACACAATGCAAAAATTGGCGGAAAATTGCAACATTCAGGTTCCAATGGAAGTCGTTAAGTGAGTCTTCTGATTCTTCACCGTTTCGTGTTCTTTGGAGGCTGCGTTTTTTTATTTCCCCCAATAACTAATTCTTCTTTATTTAACATTCTTGCCTATCTAAATTTCTGGGGTTTTAGTTTGATCGACGATGGGAAGAATCCGGACGAATTCACGAGAGACGTTATCAACGGATGCATCGCCCGGAATCAAATAACCAAAGGCAAAACCGATGCGTTCAAGGTAATACTCTGACGGAGTTTATGTTCATAGCGTCGGCAAAGCTCATTGTTCCCTTATTTTTATATGTTAAAGGAAGTTGTCAATGGAGTTACCTGCGAACTTGACTTTTGACATGTTCATCTGTTAAACTTGTTGGGCTTATTCCTTACATTGTAACAGTGGATGGTTTGGATTTGTATTTTGGTAAGCGCAGGATATAATCCTGTACTTCCAAATATGATTGTTAATTCGATAATTAGACAAGCAGTTCTTATGGCCCAAAAGAATGAACTATGAAGAGTCACACATTGGATTAGTAGCCACTTTCTAAGGATTTATACCAATTTATTCAAGAGGTCTATCATTTCAGTGTATTAGGGGCACGTAGCATGTGAATGCTGGAGATTCAGTATCCGATATGTGTGATTCTAAGCAATTCTTGTAGTCTGGAATTTGTTGAGGTGTTCTAGTTTTCATGAGAGAGTGTTGTTTCTATGGTTTGCCATCGGGTAAGAATATTCCGACCCATGTTTGAAAGGTTGGTTTGAGTGTTTCTTTATGGTAGCTGTCAAATTAAACATTTGTACAACTGCCTTCTTGGTATCTATTTAACCTGTTAAGTTGCAAGAATTGCCATTCTAGTCTGGAAGTATTCTAGTTTTCGTGAGAGAGTGTTGTTTCCATGGTTTGTCATTGGGTAAGATATTTTGACCCGTGCTTGAAGGGTCAGTTTGGGTGTTTCTTTGTGGTAGATGTCCAATTAAACATTTGTACAACTGCCTTATTGACTTCTTCTTGATTTCTATTTAATCAACTAAGTTACATAGGGCAGCCCAATACATCAGGCTCCCGCCAATGCGGGGTCGGGGAGGGACAGATGTAAATTACATGTCTTTGTAAATTAAGTTACAAAGATTGCCATTCTAGTCTGGAATTTGTTGAGGTGTTCTAGTTTTCATGAGAGAGTGTTGTTTCTATGGTTTGTAATTGGGTAAGAATATTTAGACCCATGTTTGAAGGGCCAGTTTGGGTGTTTCTTTGTGGTAGATGTCAAATTAAACATTTGTACAACTGCCTTCTTGATTTCTGTTTAACCAGTTAAGTTACATGTCTTTGTAAAGTGGGTAACGTGAGGTAGAATGGTGGAGAAATAGTTCTGTCCTTTCCTATATACTGGAACATTTACAATGATTATATTCATAAAAAATCATTTTACAATAATTATTCATTTCAGATATTACTACCCAATGTTGGTCACAGCTATCTGGGGTTGGGTGAGGTGGGCTGGATGTGGACCTAAGATTTGTTTTTTGTTTTGTTTTTTCTTGTTTTTTTTTGGGGGCACAACTGGCCACTCTCGGACTTGAACCTGTGTTCTCTTGCTTGTCAACATGAGGTTTTACCATCAGACCAGGCAATGATCCCTTCCAATTCTTACCTTCTTAGGGATAAAGCCTGTCATGGGATGGAATCATGTAATTGCCTCATATGTAGAAAATCAAATGAGTAATAGGTTGATATTTGTGTATGTGTAATAGGTTAGACATGAAGTCATATGAAGGGACCTAAGAATAGCTCCAATAGGTGATAAAATGAGGGGTAAAAGACTTAATCCTCCCCTGAGGTTTAATATAAGTACTTATACCTTGCCTTTGGTTTCTGATGTGACTTAAATGTCCCCTATCAGAATATGGTACTGGTATATTTGACAGAATCAATGAAAAGGCCTTTTTGTCATTCATTATTTAAAATTTTAAAGAAAGACACCAAAACAAAGAAAGCTGTCAAACTATAACCCAAGGGAAGAAACGGGATAGCCTGACAGTAGTTGGGTGAGGCTATCACGTATATAAATTATTGCCAGCTGGTCTTTCCTGTTGGACCACTCAACAAATGAGAGTTCGGAGTCCGGATTGTCCATTCAGAGTACAATGGACTTTTTTGTTTATATGTTTGGAATAGACATTATAAGTGGACTGGAGGGAAGTGGCCACAAGACATATAGAGCCGTCTTGAAAACATGCTTTAGTTCATTCAGAGTCCGGATTGTTCATTCAGAGTACAATGGACTTTTTTGTTTATACGTCTTGAAAACATGCTTTAGTTCTCCCCGCCCTTTTTGTAATAACAGTTAGTGATAAACCAAATCATCAAGAAAAAGTGGATCCGGACAGATTTCTGGTTTCTGATTTGGTATTATTTGTCACACACCTCTTTTCTAACAGAATACAAGATCACGTTTGAGATAAGCTAACAAAGATGATTAATGAGTTGAGGAATTTGTATTCCATGTGCTTTAAAATGTACAAAATTCAAAAATTTAAAATACAGACTTAAATACATTATACATGTTTAAAATACAACAAGAGATGAGATAACTTTATTTGCTAGGAAGTCGCCCAAGAGGTTTGGTGGTGCTACCTTCTCTGTCAAATGGGTTGGTAGATAAACCTTACCGTAACAGTTTCTGGCAGATCCAAATCATACCTTAAACGCTACTATGGACCATACGGTCAGTCAGGAAGACTCCTGGCTGTTTGGTTTACAAATTAAAACTAGATATATTTGAAATTTTGCTTCGAACAAGCTATTAGCCTATAATCTATAATAACCTGATGGTGCCATAGGAATGACAGGAGGTTGGTTTTATAGCAGGCAAAGGGGCAATAAAAGATGAAATTGGATTTTTAAAAAAGTTAAACTGCACATGATGTCACATGCATTTTTATCAGGATTGTTGGGAGGTGATAAAAGATGATCTTTGTGAGGTTTTTAATGAGTTCGTAGAGAAGCATATAGTTAGTCGAGGCATTAATTCCACATTCTTGGCTCTAGTTCCAAAGAAAGTTGATTCTCTCCATCCTAAAGATTTTAGGCCAATTAGTTTGGTGACTAGTATTTATAAAATCCTGGCCAAGGTCTTGTCTTTAAGGATTAAAGAAATCCTCCCCTCCA